TGCCCTAGAAGTCAGTAGTTCTTAAGCACTTGTCTCTACAGTGCCACTGACAATTTTGGGCCATTAGCAGTCACTTAGCAGTGCAGGAAGCTATTCTGCCATCCAGAAGATGGAAAAAAATTATATTTGCTTGACTAGCTCATAAACAGGCTATGAAAGTTAATTCCTCCTTGCACAGTGTGCTGAACACAGCAGAAAACCCCAGGAGGCTGCTGGAGAAGCCTCTCCCCAGGCAGCAGCAGAGGGGTGATTCCACCCAGCCCTGCTGCAGAACACCTCTGGACCAGCTTGTGTTGGGAAAGAACAAAACTTAGAAATTTTGCATTTCAAGAAAGAAATTACCAGTTATTACCACAAAACAATAAAGACACAGGACTCTCATCTTCTTAGGTCACAGTGTCTAACTCAATCTTATTTTACATCAGGACTGAGCAGTGAAAAAGCTGAAATGCAGAGGCTGTATTTCAAAAGAAGAGATAATTTTGGTTTTGTTGGGCTTTTTTAATTCCTTTTCTCTCATAGTTAGAAGTGAGGGAAAAAATTCAGTTACGAGAAGGTTTTAGAAGCTGTTTAAACCAGAATGTGGAAGAGGATGTTTTAACTGACAGAACCAGAGCTATGGAAGGAGGAGTAAAAAATATACAATAGGATTCTTTTCAATCTGGCAGAGGAGGTTCAAGTTCAGGGCTACCACGAAATAGCCACATAATCTAAGGCCTGGAGAAAAGCCCATCTCAGTTTTATGTGGCTGGTAACCTTCTTGATCACCACTTGTTTGTGCTATTTAAATGTGATTCAGCTCAGCACGAAATATAAGATTTGATTTAGCCCAGCACTAGAAGAACACACAAGCAGTTTGATAAAATGCCAGTCTTGTTGAAATTTTCTTGCTGTGTAAATTGAGTGCTAATGATCTGGACTCTGCTCCCCTTGTGTACTTATGCAGCCCTTTTCATGTTTGCTGGATTATTGTCGATTGATTGTTAGATAAAACAGAGAATAAGAAGCTCATGTAACAAACTCTTTGGGCCTTTTGGGGGAAATCTTCCCAATTATCAATAAGCACTGCTTACTCATCACCACAATTCCACACCAGTCTCTGTATTCCCACAATTATCATCATTAAAAATACCAGAGGGAAGCCACAAAGCTTCCCAATAGTTTATAAAACTGGTACCTACAGACGTCCAACCCCCAGTTTGGGTTTACAAATGCAGAAATAGCATTGATAGTTTATAAAAAAACCCTTACTTTTCTCCAATATTGGGGGTTTACAAGTTTCTATTTCAACCTTCAATCATTCCCTCACACAGGAGTCATGAGGTGTAATTAGAAATTGAATAACTGTAAAAAGAAAAAAAGCTGCTGTTTTTTTCCACTCATGAATGCATGCAGGCCTAACCCTCAGTAGCTTAAGGCAATTCCAGCTCTAATTTCTTTGCTGATTCATCTCCAGAAATAGGAAAACAAATTTAAAAGGTTGCAAGCAGAAAGTATCAATCCTGTTGACTTTAAAACAAAACAGAAGGTTATGTTTATTAGGCCCAGCAAAACAAGAAAAAGCTAATAAGCAAAGTATTGACAGTGTGGATTCAAAGTCCTGCTCCTGACGGTGGGAAACCCTGGCATCCCTGCACCTATTGATTGCCACGTCTGTAACAGCACAGAGTCAATCCCAGCAGGAACTGGGGCTTGCACACAGGAATTGGAGTCGTGTTACACCAGAGCTTTGAGGCTTTAATTGCTGCAAGCATTGGAAGGACGGACATGAAATTATACTTCATGTTTTCCTTTCTCAGCAAAAACACTACAAATAAAGATCTCACTTCAGTTTCCAATACTTGCACCATGAAACTGCAGGCAAACAGCACAACAAGACAGACTGGAATATTTTCCATGAACATCAGGAACCTTTCAGCACCCATGATGGGAAGGAAGAAGAGCTTCAGCCTTCCCTGGCCAGCAGCACGGGAAAAGAAGGTGGAAAAGGGGAAGCACGTGTTGATTGAAGCTGAGAAATCCCTCCCTTTCCCTAGGCCCAGCTGAGGCTTTCAAGCCAGAGCAATATTCCGTATTTACCCATCATCCATATTTTATCTCCTTCCTTTCCTCCATCTCTCACACTCATACAGAATCAAGACAAATATTTTTAATTTCCTGAGCTCATTAAAAACAAAACCTAGGCCTTGGCTCTTATGGTCCAACTCTTTCCCAAAATTAAAAACAGTCCATCAGTTCCATGTTCACGCCCCTAAATCTTCCTTTGTGCAGAACACCCCAAGATAAAAACCAAGGGTACCTTTCACCAGTAATCTTTAGTATTCAGAAGTTTCTAGAAGGCTCCCCTTGAAGACAATTTCCTGTTAGAAAGGGGATAGGGTTTACTCTAGGCACAATAATTCTGAACCAGAAAATAGCGGTGATGAGTAATTTTTTACTTTTGGCTGTTTTGCATGCCTGTTTCTTCATTTTTGACCTGCATATCCTATATTTTCCATCTGTTCAAGCCATAGTTTCCAGTCCACTGGAGCAAAAGCAATGGTAAAAGCATTTTGCCAGCAGCCCTTGGCCTCACTTCATGAACATAGTTCCAAGTCTTGCTGCCACTCAAGGCAGAACTTTGAAAAATAATGGAGTGGTTTCAAATAAAAATTAATACAATTTTCCTCATAAATAGTTACACTGGGGGAGGGGGGAAAGAGACCTTTTCCTCTATCAGAGAGAAGATCAGAATGAGACCAGACAGATGGAGAACATGCCATGGAGGGATGAACACAGAAATCACAATTCTGACCAAATAAACCCAACCAAAAACCCCGTAGAGATGCTGTAACCAGATCCAAGAGAGGAATGGCTCCCTCAAAGCACATTATAAATGTGCTAAACCACATTATACCTGCTCTGCCACTGCAGCAGAGCCCAGTCTGAAAGCCAGGTGCTCTCAGAAAAACAGGTCAAGAGAAATCAAAACTCAGGAAAGCAACAGCAAGTTGTTACAACAGTCTGTTTTCAAAAGGTAACACCAAAGTGCTGTTTTTAAGACAAGAATGCCACACTTTTCATTTTGAACTGATATTCGCTCCCTATTTTTAGCTTATTTTTTGTTTTATGCTACCTTAGATCTCAGAATAAAAAGCTACAATTCAAACACATATTTTCCTTTTTGTTCCAGAAAATTCATTTTAGAAGCATTCCTTAAAAAGTTCAGGTGCTGCATTTTCATCCTAATTTAAACAAAGCAAGGTTTTTGAAAATTTTATAAACCCATATGTAACAATTATAATGGTTGTAACCAGCTCCACTTTTAATGGATTACAGCTCATGGAAATACAGATGCTTTGAAGTGAGATTTCTAAGACTCTACATTTACAGTGAAAACAAACACTTTTTACCTTAATTAATTGCTTTTAGTGTTTATATTTAAACCTGTTTTTAAATGTAGCAGAAGTTGCCATGTCTACTGATGTGATTAAGTCATTAGTACAGAGAATAAAGACAAAGCCATCCCTGAACACTTGCTCTGAGGATCTTGGATTGCCAGGTTTGAAATCAGCACTCAGGACACAATTTAAATCTTAGATTGACTCAGAAGATGAGAAACTGATATGGTGAGGAGATGTGCTTGTCCTCCACCAGATGAAAAAGAAATAATTGCCCTTGAGTCAGCAACCAAGTGCTGTGGTTATTCAGTTTATACATCACACACCTGCAGAGGGAAAACGTCCTGATTTTAGGGCAAACCATTTCCCCCAGAAATCCCCCAAGAATCTCCCTGGGGGAAGGGGAGGGGAAAAAATTGCTGGGTTGAGCTCTTAGTACTGAGGCCAGTGGTGCCAAATCTGAGTTACTCCTTGCTCCAGGCCAAGGCAGACATGGGAGTCTATGAATGCTCCATTTCCAACCCGGCCCCATTTTCAGCCCTGGAATGGGAGATGTGTAACCACCTGAGAAAGGAGTTTCCTCTCAGGATTTCTTAGGGAACAGCTCCAAAGCATCTCTGGTGCTCAGCACAGCTGTTTGTGAATGCATTTGTCCAAGTGGGGAGCTCACTGCTCCTCCTATGATGCTGTTTTAGAGGAATGTTCTGGGAGCTTTGGCAACACCCACCATTTCTAGGACAACCACCCGAGACAAATCAGTCTCACCCCCAGAAGTCAGCATGTGGAATTTACCTTCAGCTCAGGAAGAGCTGGCACCAGTCATTGGTAAGGGATCAAAAATGGAATAATCTCTGCAGACATGGATTTCCCACACACCAGCCACACAACCCTCACTTGCAGTGCTGAACACAGGGGCAAGCTTGGAAAGAAAAGCCAGCTGGACAGTCCCTCCTGCAGGCACACACACCTGCTCTGTGCCCCAGCCCAGTCCTTACTGGTCTGGCCTGGATTATACTGGTGTTACAGGGAGCTGTCCTGGAACAGCTCAGTGCTCGGACAGAATGAGGTGAACCAATGTGCCACTTGATGTCACATCCAACCACCACCCCCTGGGCAGTTCCTCACTTTCAGAAATTGTTTTGGTAGATCAGTAATACTGAGGAACCTCAGACATCCTGCAATACAGAACTGAGCTCATGACAAGCTGGGGAGAGATGCTGAAACGTGAATCCTACCTAAATGCCCAATTCTTGCTCATTTCCTGTAAATAACTCTGTGGATTTAAGCTTCATTAATCTCAACATGAGTCCAGTGAGAGAGATTAGGAGAACTCAAACTCCAGCTCTCAAGAATTTAGATGTTATCTCCTCTTAGTACATAGATATGTCCCAGCTCTACCATTTCAATTTTTGTAAGTATTCCTCAAAGGACAACTTCAGGAAAAGGCCTCTCTCACTCCATGAGATCACATCTCAGACAATTCATACAGTATGAGACTGAGCAACATGAGAAATGGAGAGCAGCAATTGATGGACTGTTAGGCCATTTACACAGAGAAAGTGACTTCCAAGAGCAGAGAAACAAAAAGTAAGGTACCAAAGAAACACAAAGCAGCCTTACCTCAGCGTGAACTGATCTTCTGTCAAGTTTTTAGCAACAGATACAAGGAAAGTCAGAATGTCTCCTTGCTTGACAGTCTTTGGTGCATACTGGATCACAATATTATTATCCAATCTCATTTCAGTCAAAGAAGGGGCAGCGTGTGTTTGGTAAAGGAAAACACTTCCAATCCTCTGCAGGGGAGGTCCCGACTCATCGATGTCATTGCGCCCTGACCGGATCCCGTTGCTTTTCCTGACATCCTCCTTGGCGCACTCCCCTCTCTCATCTCCTGCTTGGATGGAGTAGTAGAGCTCCACGGGGCTCCCTTCAGACCTCTCCAGCTGTTTCTTCCGGCCAGCCACCACGGTGGGGGGGTTGAACCAGGCGGGCAGCAGCTCCAGCTGTGCCACGCAGAGCCCCAGGTCGCCCCGCAGGCGGCAGCTGCCGCGCACCTCGCGCGTCTCGCGGAAGGCGAACACGCGCAGGCAGGGCAGCCGCTCCGCGGGGCTGTACTCGTCCCAGTCCCTGCCCACGATGTAGAACAGCACCTGCACCCTGGGCTTGCTCAGGTAGATCTTGGTGCTCATGATGTAGGCCTGGAGCTTCCAGTTAAAGGAGAACTTGTTAGTAGATCCAAAGGGATTTGAAGACAGCATTAAGTCCTGGGGCACTGGTTGTTCAATAGAAAAAGGTCCATAGCTGGCGTTTAACACAGGTGGACTCTTGGATTTGTAGATCAGAAAGGATTCCACCCGGGACTGCAAGCTGGAGTTCCTCATAATATCCTGGTTGGCTTCCTTAAGGAAGAAGGAAACATCCGCATTGTGGATGCGGTAGGTCACCGGCAGGTAAGTGGGCAGCAAAGAAAACCTCTGTATGCTCTCCAGGATCCCTCGACTCTCAGTCACTGTTGGAAGGAAAGGAGAGTGTAAAATATCAGCTCTTCAAGTCATACTGTGATATAACCTCAGACTTTACTGAGGGGCTGGACAGTGCTGCAGCACGGTTTGTGGCAATAAACCTCATCAGTCCATGCAGAGGTGGCCTAGGCTGACAATTATTTATCTAATCAGCTTGGAAAACAATGCTTTATGATACATTCTGCATGACAGCCAGATCAAAAGAAGTAGCTTGTGGAGGTTTACACGTGCCAAAGGTCACATCTCCACTGCAATGAACATTTATCATCACAGACAAAATGACCCAGTCAGCACCTGCAACCCCAGATCACTGCACAGACACAGCTGAAAAATCTGATCATTACAGCAAGCTGCATTTGAGCAGGAATCCAACGCAATGATTTTACACCAAATGCTGCAAATGGACTGCCCAGAGTTCACTTCAACCTTCTCAGCACTCTCAAACAGTACATGGACCCTAAATGGTTTCCTGCACAAGGCTGAATTTCACTTGAAAAACATTTAGCACAATAGCCATTTACACAACAGCTCCTTTGCATCAGTCTGCGAGGATTTCAAAAGGAGTTGCATTTGCATCCAATTTACAGTCCCTTCTATTTCACTTGAATCATGAATAAAGGGTTTTTTTCTGTAGATCACCATCAGGATTCATTGTTGCCTAACCCTCCACTGTCCCCTCATCCAGCTGCATTATCTGGAGGCTGTACATCCCTGCACACAAAGAACATTTCCAATGGCCCTGAGCCTCTCCCACTGCAGGGCACCTGTTTTAACTCTGCCAGCCAGCGATTACCTGAGGCAGGCAAGCTCTGCATCCTTTCTAGGAACTGGCAGTCCCAAAGAACAAATACAGAAACTTTAAAAACACGGATGCAAATACAGCATCGCCTTTCCTGTTTGAACAGCTGACCTTTGTGCTCACATCCTCTACCCTAATTATGAAATAAATTGCCTTTTTTTCCCCCCACAGCAAATTCAAATCATTACCCTTATTCAGAAAGAGGACAAAGGCATCCAAAGACAACCCAGTTTCTCAAGCTCTAATTCACAAATGCTTCAGTAGTCTTTATTTTTTTGTTCAGCATCTGACCTAAATATTTATTTGCTCACAAGTACCGTGGTGGCCGCAACTGAAGCCAGTTACTCCTGGCTTGAATTTTCCATTTAGGTGCTGCAGTCCACTCTGTCCAACCTCAGACAAGCCACTTTTCCTAGGCTGCTGTTTTATGTTCAAAAAATAAAGGGTATTACTGTTTCTTTCCCCTCACCCTTTCTAGGCAGCAAACATAACCAACTTATCTTACTATTTATGTAGGAGCAGCACCTAAAATCCCAAAGCTGTGATTTTGGTTAGGCTCTCCAGGCCTAAACATAATGCAAAACAAACTGAAGTTTACAAAAAAAAAAAAAAAAAAAGGCAAAAAGACTTCCTACATGTAAAAGCAAAACTATCTGGCTTCTTAAAAGAAGATAATCCAAAAAATCACGTAAAACCAGCAACAAACCGAAACAGACTAACCCTAGATAAGGGTTCCACTCAGAAGGAACCAATCTGAGAATGGAAGAGGCCAGGAAGAAAGGATTACACAAGTTCACAAAATCCTTCTCTACATCTTGAAAAGGAGAAATTCCTCTTCCAACAAACAACTGCAATAAAACCTTACATTACAAAGTTTAGTTAGCATCCACTCAAACCCCAAACAACTGGAAATAAAGTCTATCTGAAGGACCAGGAAGATGGCCCCAGCACACAGCAACATCTGAGACTGTAAACTGCAAGAGCACTGAAAGCCTGAAATCCTGTGATCCCCCAGGGGTGGCAAATTCATCTGAGATCTGCTATGAAGATCATTTTTAATAAAGAGTAAACTGCAGGCTTTCTTACACCAAAAACCACCTCCATTTTAGCCTCAGTCTTTTGAGCATTCAGCTCCCACTCTTTCTCTAGATACTGACTGAGAGCAAATGAAGTTTTTCAAGACCTTTTTCTGGATAATCCTCCAGCAAAGATTTCTCCCAGCCCTGATGCTTTGGGGCAGTGAGCTGCAGGGCTGGAGCTCTGCTCTGCTGTACTGCTCAGCTCCCCCAGCCCACAGCATCCTTCCCCATCCAACGCCCCATTTATAAATTCCACACTCATTTCGTTCTCCTCCCAACATCTTGGCAAAGCACAGCGAGGCATCAAAGAAGCAACTTGGAGAGAAAAAAACTCTGAGTATTCAATTTTTTATTCCCCTTATTTTGATTGCAGCTCCCTCCCTTGTGTTCCACAGGGAAAAGTACATTATTTTTATATTAAAATTAACAGTGTTTCGCCTCATATTTTTTTATCATTTATTTTAGTGCTTAATTATCTGAGGGATTAAAACCCCTTCCTCTGCATTCCCCATCCCCACAGGACAATATTCCTCAGATTTTGCAAATCAGTGACTCTTCAGAACAGGAAAGCAACACAAATGGGGAAAAATAAAAGAAGAGAAGGTGAATTGTCTATGAAAATAGGAACCAGCCTCACAGCTGGAATAAACGCATGGGCTTTACATTTTTGGGCAGTGGCAAACTGGTCCCCTCAAAGGGCCCTTCCCCCAGCACCAGCTGTGAATGTACACTGAATTTGAACTGGTTTGTGCTGGAAGCCTACAGCAGCCTTCCAAACAGCCAAAGGCCAAAAACCCAAGCAATTTTAAACTTTTATCTGGGGAGAGTTATAATCAGCACAAACAAAAAAAATGTCTCAAAAACAACACTGAGCTCTGCTGTACCATCTGGATTTTGACCGTGAAAGTTTATTAAGGATTCAGAAGGATAGGAAATTAAAAACAAAAACAACTATCAGCATCCTTAATTACAACCATGACTATTTTTGTAAAAATTATGCATGTTTTTACAAAGGCAGAATTGCAGAAGATTACCATTTTGTTTGTTATTAGTGAGACTCAGCAGAAAAGCAGTGTTTTAAAGATTTAAATTATATAATCTATCCTAAATATTACATTCCATCTATACCATCATAATCCAAGTTCCACTGGAATAACCCACCTGAACAGTTAAGAGTGACACAGTGACTCTCTCACGTAAAGTATGTCAAACAACACAAAGGATGGGCAACTGAAGTGCTCTTAAGGAAACAGCACCAAGACAAAAAATAAACAAATTCAAGAACTGCAATTGACCTTTCCTGCACCACTGTCTGGAAACGTCTCCACACGGAGACCTTGGCAGCAGAAGAACCAGCACTGTCCTTTCAGGAGAGCATCCCCAGCAGTGTGGAGGAAACCAACCCACCTGATGTTGATGCCAAGCTGATGCCCGGAGCGATCATTTCTCAGTCCCTTGCCACAATGACCGTCTGACCCCTTCTGGTGTGAAATCTGTGGAGGATTTCAGTCTGTGGCCACCTGAGATGTTGCCATAGGATGGTTTTCTTTCCTCTCTCCTCAGTAAACCTTCCTCTGGCTGATACTGTTTAAAAATACTTGCCATTGATGGAAGAAGCAAGCACTTCGCAGGTCAGTGAATTTGAAAGCATCTGAGGCAAAGGCAGCATGTTCAGTTTGCTCCTGCACAGCCAAAGCTGGTGCACAAATCCCTCAGCACCACCTGTGTGCACCTGCTGCATTCACCTTCCAGCCACACTGCCTTCCTCGTGAAGGCACTCACTTTGTACCCTGGCTAAAAACCTCCCATCCTCGTTTGTCGAGAGCCATGAACAGCAGCTTTCAGTCAGTGACAAACCACTCCTCATGGCTCACTTCTACTGCAGTTATTGACCATGGCTTCGGAAAAGTGAAGCAATCTGCCAGACCCCTAACTCCATTCTGTATTACCAGATCCTTGGCATTTCAGCCCTCACAGTTACTTCATTTTTAAAACAATTCAATCCACAATCATCCAGCATTCATGAGATATAAAATTCTTCCAATCAATTATATAATGCTACTATTAAAAAAAAGTAAATTGTCTTTTTCTTGTAGATTGAAGGGAACAACTTCTTAGGGAAATTGCCTTCCCAGCTGCAGGCTCAGGCTGGTAATGCAATAGATGAAATTTGTTGCTATATCTTGGGGATTGAGATAAGTGGTTCTTTCCAGTAAGGGCTGAAATTTTACCTTTTTAGTTCATTTCAGCTGCTCTCCTTGAATCTTCTGAACACTTCTGCTCTTCTAGGTTTGCTGTGAATTGAAATAATTTCAGCAAAAGTATCTAGAAAAAAAAAATCTGCTAGCATGATATATTTTCAGCTCTGCAGAGTAATGTCGTGGGAGATGTCCATTCCAATGAAACTTCATGCTCACTTCTGAAAAATTAAGGTATTTCAGCTTTAACCTAGTTAAGTGGCTGAATCTGCTAATGCTCAGAAGGAAGGCATTTTAAAGCCAGGCTATAAACAGAGTGAGCCCCTTCCCCAGGTGTAGCTCAGCCAGTTTTTACCAGAGGGATGATCTGCTCTGCCCCTCTGAGCGACAGAATTCAGACCATGCTACATAAAGATCTGAGTAGGACCATTTCCATCCTGAAGGTTTGGTAGGCTGCTTGTCCTGTTCCTTCCTCAGGTTCCAGCATCCTCCCCAGCCCTTTGACATGAATAAACCAACTGGAGCTTCCCAAGGGTCATTCCCCATCTTCCTCCTTCTGCCAGCCTCGTGGCAGCTTCAGCTTCCTCAGCACCATCAGCAGTGCACTTTTCCATTTTGGATTCAGGCTTGCTTTGCTTTACTGCCAGCAGCTTTGTGACACAGTGGCAAGAAGTAAGGGGAGGTTGAGGACTAAACCAGTCCCATTTTGCTGTAGGCTTCCACTACTTTGCCATATAAAATAAAAGAAAACCTAAACCCAGAAGAAATAAACAAAGGAGCCTTTCCTTATGAATGCATGACTGTATTTAAAAGTCTCCAGTGATCCCAATATTCCCCACACAGCTGTGTAACACAAGGCTGATGCAGCAATTGATCACTATCAAGTAACTGTCACTCTTCACACTGGAGCA